AGAGGCAAATGATGTCCTGAGTTATTTTGTAACACCACTGCATAAATATGAACCAGAAGAGTTCCACCAAGTCCTTGTGGAAGGTATGGAAAGTTGCTTTCTGAATCTTGGTAATTTTTGTAGGATTGGGGTTTTTTTGTTGTTTTCAACAGCTTCAAAACTTGTGAGTTTACTTGCAGTTATTTTCCCTTTTTTTACTTTCTGGAGTTACTATAAAAACCTTAGATTTTGCTTTATTTTTTTCTTCAAAGGGTTGCTAGAAATAGATTTCAAATTATCAGAGGTTCCCTTTTTTATTTAGGGCCAATGAGTGACCACAAGAACATGTATTGAGGCACGAAATGCATTTGTTTGAAATACCTGATATTGAAATTCAAACAGCTCTTCAAGCAGAATTCCTAACAAGAAGGATTTGTGACAGTGAGTCTACAAGATTTACTTTCAAGAAAAAAAATGTGTGTTTAAGAGACCCATGAACCTTCAAAAGAACACCTTCAAAAGGTCCCACCTCACAGCTATAAGGGATTTTCAGAAGTTAATGTATTTACATAAAGTGGAAAGACTTGCAACCTGTACAAGGCAATTACTGGAAACAGTGATGTAGTATTGAACAGAATGGTCCTGATTTTCCTTGGTTTTTTTTAAAGAAATCTATTATTTCTTTCATCTACACTAAAACTATAGGCCAAATCCTCTAGTCCTCACTACAAAAAAGTCATTTTACAGACCTCCTGCTGGTCTTCTGTACAAAGAAAATGAGTACTCCAATGAGGTGAAGGGCAGAAAGAAAAGGAGCTTGAAAATACAGTCCATATGGAAACAAAAAACTGCATTTAAAATGCACCCAATAAACACTAGAGATGTATTAGCATGTAATTGAGCAGCTTTTGCTGACACTTATGTAACTATTTGTACATGTCTATACAGACACATACACACACATGTACATACACACTTCATTCCACAAATAGCTACCCAGATTAAAAAGCCTACCTCTTGTTATTTTTGCTCAGAACCCATTGAAACCTACATACTCTTTGGTATCACTGAGATAGTGCTCTATAGTCTGTTATTGTGACACGTTTCAAATCAACTTTCTGAACATATTAAAACTGTATTTCAGGATCAGAAGGGCAGAAAAAATAAAAGATACAGAATAGCAGTATCATGGCATTTCTTTTAAGCTTTTCTTTTAAAAAACCTTTCCCCCCCCTTCTGGTTTATGTATAAATACTTCTGCTTTCTGTCTCCCACCTTTATGTTTTCTCCTGATCTCTGGAATTAGCCCCAAGATGTTTCAGAAAGAGAGGGGGACACTTTAAAATTATTTTTGCAGCACAGAGTAGGACTGATAAAGCTTTTCATCAACATGTGTGTGCACACATACACACTAGCACATGTACACACAAGCACACGTACACACTAACACATGTACACACCGACCACTGCACATTCACAGAGGATTCTTCCCTGATTTGTGTCATGGTTTAAGTGCAGCCAACAACTAAATACTTTGCAGCAGCTCATTCACCCCCCTCCACTCCCCCTCACAGTGGGATGGGGAAAAGAATCAAAAAGAAAAGGTGAAACCAGTGGGTTGAGATAAGAACAGAATGACTTACGCTAGCTGAATGCTTCATGCTGTTTAAAATAATGTTGTATATATGAAGAGCAAAAATATAATCATTTTTCTATACATCATGCACAGCATTCAAATGCTATAAAAAAAATCAAGGTTCTGTAGTTGCAAATATCTACATAGCTGACTAAGAAGATTACAGACGTAAGTATCGCCTAATTATTCTCTGTGTAATTAACAAGTTAGCTCTGAAATGCTAGGACTCTGAAGTGACATTACTTCTTGTAGACATTTGCATGGTGAATTCTAAGGATGGTTATGAATCACCTTTCTTTTAATATCTAGAGTTTACAGATTTACATACAAGCTATAACTGAAAGCAGTTGGCAGAATTTTGCATGAAGTTCATTTGAGGCACATTAAATGTATTTTTTCTGAAAAGTCAGACCATTATTTTATCAATAGTAATACCATGGATGATAATATAAAGACAGCAGAGGAACTTCAAACTATGCAGTGTAGGGGGAGGGCTTTCAAAACTAATCTCTTAATCCTGGCATATGACTTAACGTAACAGTCCAATACACATTGCAGGGAGAGAGAGAAAGATGGGTAACAATCTTTAAAGTCAATACCGATCACTGATAGAGAGCTAGGCACACTCCATACCAAAACTGTTAGACATTCTCTCCATTTTTATTACATTTCACCAGAAAACAAACAAGAATAAAACTCAAGTGAATAAAATACACACAATTCCACCTCTGGAATGAACAGTCTACAAAGAAAAAATCTTTTACATTATGATTTCAGATGAGAAGCAATGGTTTTCATTAATACCACTCTGGAGTGACCCTACCTGCCTTTCCCCACCCTGTCAATCCATCTTTACAGGAATCTGAAATATTTCTGCTTTGAAACATTCTTTTTAATGTGAGGGTTTCCTCCAAAATGCAGAACCTGCTGCCACTCACCTTATACTAGAACTCTGAGCATTAAGAGTCTGTGTAATCACTGCAGTAAACGCAATGAAATCTTCCAACCATTCCTTTGCTCCACTCTTAAGATTTCTGTGCAGAGACTGATTTAGTAACGTTACTGAAAACCATAGGCCTGAAAACATTTAACTGAGGTCTTGGTGAATTCATAGGAAGAAATACAGCCTCTCAGGCCTTTCTATTTTCCCACATGAATAGGAGTGCTAGCTCTAGGAAGCATTTAGAGGCTAGATGTATGCAGCAGTTTTCCTGCTTTATGTCCCTTGAACAAATGCTAGAAATGAACCTTCACTCATTAAAGTAATATGGGCACACTGCTTGATACCCACTTCTGCCTATAGCTGTTAGACAACTTGAAAGGCATCATGCAGTACAGGAAAAGACCAGGTCATACCTGCATCTCAAGACCAGGACACAGACAGGCTGTCCATGGACTGTGAGGTAGAGGTTCTGCTGTGCCATATCACCCATAGTTTTGCCTCTGGGGACTAAGGACACCACTTTGCCACACACTATTAATCCGCTCCTTCAGACCTCAAGCAAATTGCTGATAGACAAGGGACTAAAGCATCTTCATTCTCAAATGCTGCTAGAATTAGTATGTTTATATCATGTTCTACTGAGGGTTCCACTTGCAAAATTATTTTCCAGGTCAGTTTTCCAAATTAAACACAGATTCTTTGAGAAGGGAGAGTGTTGAGATGTGATTAAGATTCTTTAGCCCAATAACAGCACAAAATACATCCAGGCACAGGCATAAGTATCATTTCACACAAACCTTTGGCTTTTTGGTAACAAGCCTATCAGATACTGCCTGGGGAGGTGAAGTTTCCCATAAGCAAGACATCCCTTTGTATTTTTAATCTTCAAACTTCAAAACAGCAAAAACTTGTATAAAGGAAGTCAATGTTACTGTAAAGTGTCAGTTCTCTTACCGCCAGCTCCCCTCCCACCCTTTAATTCATATACCTATTGACAAAACTATCTATGCTGTAGAATCTTGTTATTTCTTCAGTATCATCATTGCTTGTAATAACAAGTGTTTCACATACTGCAGTATTGCAAAAACAGAAACGTGAGAGGGTCAGAAAAAAACACAGGTATCGAAGATAGAGGAGATGATTTATACTGGGAAATTGCAGGGAAATTACAGTGCTCTAACTGTAATTCTTCAAAATAGTCCCCAACATTATAAAATATATTCCTGTTTTTTTCCTGGAGTATACAGGATATAGTAGGCACATTATGAAAAATATATCAACCTGCTGCTATTAGAGTTAGTTTGCACAACATGCAAAAAGCTTGATGCTGTAACAACAGTTATTTGATGCAGACAGGTGAGTGCTTCCCATCACACTTCACTTTAGCTCACAGGTAAAAAGTCTTGTCTTTTCATCACCATTTTGATCCCTCTCCTTCCCAGGTGGGATTGATAAAGACACAGCTGCAGGAGTGAGTGAGTGAATAGGCTGGCAGTGCTATGCATGCAGAAGCCTGCCTGAAAGCCATACTGAACACGAGGCTCTGGACAGCCAGTACTGAAGGAGCTGCTGGCACCAACAAAGCCCAGGCACTGCTCTCCATACTGTCACAGGTTATGTCATAAAGCCAATGTCATTTTTGTTCTGAAGGCAAGGAGAAGTGGTCAGAAAGAGGGAGAAAAAGAATTTCTGAGATTCTCAGTACTTTGGCATAAGGAGCTCACCCCTACCTAGAAAAAGGAGAGAAGTGAAATGGACAGCTGAACTGCTGTAATATTCTGAATTCTAGGACACATATCTACAATCGCCTCTGCTATTAAGAGGAGGATCTCAGGTGGTTTGGAAGGAAAAGATCCAGTAGGGCACACTGACAGAATAAAATCTATTACCTGCTAGGCCTTTACTAAAGAATTTCAATGGATTTAATTTAATTTCAAGAGGGTTTGGGGAGTTAATATTGTGTAGTCTTTTATCAAGGGTTACCTTACCATAAGCATGAGGCTTCTTTTTTTAATGTATATTCTGAGGTTTTTCAAAGAAATGTGGTGTTTTTTTTCCTTTTGAGAGGCTTCTATTACAGCCTGTGCCATGCTCTGCAAGAGAAGGTTTAATCCATGCTGCTTCTGCTGTTACCCATAGTGTCAAAAAAAAAGAGCAATGCAAATATTCACAAAATCCTCAGACAGAAATACAGAGACACTTTTATGCTTTCATAGCAGTCTAATTCCATTTATTTCTCTAGGTAAAGAAATCTTTCCAGGTATTTATTTCAAAGAAAAATTGGGCAGCTGCTCAGAATAACCAAATTGATAATAATTTGCCTATGCTGTCATTTCCAGCAGCTCCTATCTGACCATGTGTTTCCTAGAGAAAACTTTACATATTAACAATAACTGCATGTTAATGAAAATCCATTTTATAGCAAAAATAAAGCTATTTAAAAAAAAAGTCACTTGCCTTGCTCCTGTGATGACTTCAGCACAGCACGGATCCGTAGTCAGAAACTCCCCTTTGAAATGCTGCATGAAACAAAAAATCCCATGGCTCTCCACAGGGCCAGAAAATAGTTCCCGTGGGTAGACAAGGAACTCCCAGAATGTTCCTGCTGTACAATACTTAGTTCCTCTTTGTTCTTTGTATCTCCCAGACAAAGTTTGGCCCCTAAAACTTGTGTCCAATAATCACAGAAACACAGGCCCAATGTCTCCACACAGCAGCTGAGGGAGACATGGAGGGGCTCTTCCATGGTGGGCCCTGCTCCGAGACCCACCATTAAAAGCACAGTTCTTGTCAGAAATGTGCCTTTTCAGTCTTCTATGCTTCCAGGACAATGACACCCGTCATCTTTGACCTATATCTGATCACCACTCCTGTTGTTTTTCATCCCACACTAAGGACAATCTCAAACAACACTGAGCCAAAAGCAAGGTTTAGAGCCGGGTCTCACCCTGCCTCTGGGAAGGCATTTTGAAGGTCCCCATTTCTCTGCATCTGGCTCCCACCGGCTTTGTGTTCCCATTCCCAATCCCCTACCTCAAACCAGGCTCATAATCCCACATCTCTCTCCCTCACCTCACATCTTCCTCCCCACCAGTCGGATTAGCCCAACAGCTCAGGGCCTGACTAGCAGGCAGCCAAGCAACGGGCACGAGTAACACAAGGAGAAGGGGGCTCTCTACTGCACCCCAAGCTTTACTTGCCTTTACCGGTGATGGCTTCCTTACATGTACAAGGCCACCCATGCACAGTGCTGTTTTTCTGTATGCATTACCTAGCTCTAACTCTCTAATTGTGGTCCCCGTGTTTTTTCTTCATAGTTCTGCCATAATCTTTGCACCTTAAGGACTACTGAATGGATAAAAGTAATGCTTTAAAAAAATATAGTACTGCATTAGGAACACTGGTTGATGACGCATCATGCCATTGCCCAAAATATTTACCAGCGCTGGCTCACAGAAGATAATCTGAGGTAATTTTTGCAGTGGCTGCCCTCAAAATATACGTAAAACCTATCAGGAAGGCCTTAGGTATATCTCCTTGCTGGATAAAGGAGCAATATTCCTCATGGCAGAAGGTGAAGTGTGGTGCATGCAGATGCGCTGGTGTTTTTTCATGCTCTGCATGCAGCAACATAAATCACCTAGCTTGTAAAGAAGTCTGACACTAGAAGTCAGGACACATTTAATGTGCGATAATTGTGCTTAGTTTAGCCAAGATCTGAAATTACTTGCAAGTGAAGTCTTTGACAGAAAAGCAAAACTAATGGAGAATTTCAACCCTTTTTCCAAGCCTGTAAGAGGGACAAATGTTTTCCATAAAACACAGAGATCCTGATCAGCAGAATTACTTTTTGCAAAGCAAAACTCAAGCCCCTATGAGTTACTGACAGACTTGCTTAAAAAGAAGTGTGTTTACTGCATGAGGGCTTGACAAGTCTTTTCCCCTTGAAGATGAGGAACTGCCTGACATGCAAGACTTGCTTCTCACAGCCACATGAGGAGTGAGAGAAACAGAAATACTGGAGACATGATGTAAGATGGTGAACAGGTTAAAATTAGTCAATGTTCCAACTTTTCTTATGAAGGGAGGTTCTTTTTTCTCTCTATATATATAATCAAACCGAAAAACGTAGAGGGCATTGGAAAGTGAAGAAATAGAGATTTGAAATCTCAGCGCACAAACTCCTGCTTGCTTACCTACACATGCAATAGCACAAGTACATATACACATTTCTCATTTTAGGAGCACTAATTCAAAAGAGGCCTTATAAAATAAGGAGAAAAACACCTCCTTCACCTTCATAATTGTATCAGGAATAATGTCAGGCACTAGCTTAGCTAGGGCAATGTCTACTTCGCTCTTAAAAACAGTCAGTATTCATATTTTTTTCCACCCTATGTTTTGTGTCTTACCTTTCTAAATACTCACTTGCTTTATGAAAAATGAAAGAAAAAAAAAGAGCCACACAGAACAAAACAACCCACAACCAATTTTCCTTCTTCCAATTGTAGTACTAATATTTTCAGTAGAAAAAAAAAAAAAAAATTCTTATTCCTTTTATTCTTTTCCAGTTGCTCAGAGCTGGAATGAAACACAATGAAATGACTGAGTAGAAAATTAAGATTTTATCAAAGGTCAGCAAATTGTTTAAATGACCTTGAGCTATATACAAAGCAGCAGCACATAATTACAGTACAGGTTCAGCTCCTCTAGGCTGCAAAGTTGACCTGTTCTTTGTTCATCTCAGTAAATCTGAGACAGGACAGCACTGAAGTTTTCTGATATACTATACTTGGTTTTCTTCAAGCAAACGTTGAGCTGCAACATGGATGCGAGTTGTTGGTTAGCCTACATAGTTCAAAATACACTTACAGGACTCCCCACTTCCCTTCCCCACCTGCACACATACGCTCGTGAGGCTGCAGAAGTCTTTTGTGGAAGGCAGCAATATTAGAAAATCTTCAAGAGGATGTAATACAGGAAGAGGCATGCTCTTTGCACAGAATGGTGGGAAATAAGACAGCAAATAGCTGCACTAGCAAAAGACTGAAGAAAAGATAAAGAGGAAATATTGATTTAAATTAAATAATATTGCATGATGGGTCTGGCTGGGATGGCGTTCATTGTTTCATCGCAGCCCATACGTTGTGGGCTTGTCACTATAACTGTGTTGATAACTGTCCTGGGTTCAGCAGTAGCAGTCATTTTTCTCCTCCTTGGTAGCTGGTGCAGTGCAGTGTTTTGACTTTCGGCTCGGGAACAGAGCTGATAACAAAGATGTTTTGGTTTGGCCAAGGACTTTGTGAACCTCATGCTCTGCCTTGGAGGAGGGGAAGCCGGGAGGAAGCAGAGACAGGACACCTGACCCAAACTGACCAAAGAGGTATTCCATACCACAGCACGTCACGCTCAGGATGCAACTGGGAGTTAGCCAGAAGGGCTGGGAGACTGCGAGGCTGGAGGAGGTATGGGTCAGTGCTTGGTCGGGCTGGGGGGGGGGGGGGGGGGGGCAAGTTATCGGTCAGCTGGTGGTGAGGTGTTGTATTCTATTCCCTTGTTATTTCCTTTATCATTGTTATTACTGGTGGTAGCAGTAGTGATTTGTGTTATACCTTAGTTACTAAACTGTTCTTATCTCAACTCGTGGGAGTTGCATTCTTTTTGATTCTCCTCTCCGTCCCTCTGGTAGTAGGGGGAGGGAAAGAAGCGGGGGGTGAGTGAACGAGCTGGCTGGCTGGGTTTAAACCACGACAGTTCTTTTGGCGCCCAACGTGGGGCTCCAGGGGTTGAGCTTGTCACTTGTCACAATGCTGATTTATTGGCTCTCAGAGTTGTTCCTCTTGATCTCACAGCTTCAGAATGCAGTACATTACTTAGAGCCGGTATTTGCTGTGTTAGTGTTTATCAAGTGTGGGGCCTGGGCTAAGATTCTTGTCTCACTGTGCTTTATGGCAATGACTTGTAATACAGGCGGGCTCCAGCAGCAGGGCGGGACGGACGTGGCCGTCCGGCTGCTCTTCACCGTCCTGGCCCTCGCCCTCGCTTCCGTCTTCGTGAGGCCCCGGGAGCCGGCGGCTGCTGAAGTGGCCCGGGAGAGCGGCCCCGGGGACCAAGCGGCGGCGGGAGCGGGGCCGGAGGCCGCGGGGGGACGGCTGCCGGTGGAGGAGGTCGGGGCGGTCGGGGAGAGGAAGGAGGCGGCCGCCGAGCAGCGGGAGAAGGCGGCGGAGGAGCCGAGCCCCGCTGCCGAGCCCAGCCCTGAGACGGCCGAGAGCATTCCCCGGAAGCCGCCCGCCGAGCCCCAGGAGGATGCAGCAGACCACGCAGCATTTCCCAGCAAGGCGGAGGAGGAAGAGCTGGACTCAGGAAAAGAGAAGCCGGTGGTGGGAGAGCCGGCAAGCACAGCGGCTACACCAGCCCCAGTGACAAGTACAGCAGCATCAGCTGAGAGTTCTGAAGGTTTTGAATGGCCTTTGGGTACCCTTGGGAGCTGCCTGCTGATTGTGGTGGGGATCAGCATGTTGGCACACACACAGACTGTGTTTTACCCATCACCATTTTGTCTGATCTCAGAAGTTAAGCAGAGTCAGGTTTGGGTCTTGTCTGGGGTTAGACGACGATATAGGGGGACCAAGAGGTCTTCCCCAAGGCTGGACAGCCAGGAGTGGCAGGGTGTGTGGGACAGTATGGGCAAGTATCTAGTCCACTGGGCCCCTCCAGTGCTTTGGAAGCATCGGAGATGGAAGGCAGCCGTATGGAGTCCCCAGCAACAAGCTGCAGAAACTGCTGAAGGGGACAGTGAATTATTTTGAGCCTGGTGGGCCCATGGCACTTCAGGCCATCACAGCAGAGATGCAACATAGAGATGGACTCATGATCGAGGGGTGGACTTAGCAATGGACACTACTGCCCAGGTTATTCACGAGTGTGAACACTGCACACAGTCTCTCCTGCTCTGGAAGACTGTTACAAGAGATGGAGCCTGACATCATGGACCAGACGGACTCGGCAGCATTATAGGGATTGGTCCATGCATTAAGAAAATGATCTTTTTCTCTTGGTCTGTGTGTATATGGATGTATATATGTGGGAGAGCAATGGTGTATTGAAAATGTGGGATCTGAGCATGACATGAATGGTATGGAATAAGGGGTGGATAATGTCCTGGGTTCAGCAGTAGCAGTCATTTTTCTCCTCCTTGGTAGCTGGTGCAGTGCAGTGTTTTGACTTTTGGCCTGGGAACAGAGCTGATAACAAGGATGTTTTGGTTTGGCCAAGGACTCTGTGAGCCTCATGCTCTGCCAGGGAAGAGGGGAAGCCGGGAGGAAACAGATACAGGACACCTGACCCAAGCTAGCCAAAGAGGTATTCCATACCACAGCACATCATGCCCAGCAGGTAACTGGGAGTTAGCCGGAAGGGCTGGGAGACTGCAGGGTTGGAGGAGGTATGGGTCGGTGCTTGGTCGGGCTGGGGGGCGAGTTATCAGTCGGCTGGTGGTGAGATGTTGTATTCTTTTCCCTTGTTATTTCCTTTATCATTGTTATCATTGGTGGTAGCAGTAGTGATTTGTGTTATACCTTAGTTACTAAACTGTTCTTATCTCAACCCGTGGGAGTTGCATTCTTTTTGATTCTCCTCTCTGTCCCTCTGGTAGTAGGGGGAGGGAAAGAAGGGGGGGAGTGAGTGAACGAGTTACCTGACTGGGTTTAAACCACAACAGTAACACACCAATGTTTTAGGTGTTGTTGAACAGTTCTTGCAGGGTATCAAGGTTTTCTCTGCTCCTCACTCTGCCCCCTCAGGAAACAGGCTGGGGTGGGCAAGGGGCTGGAAGAGGGGACAGCCAAGACAGCAACCTAGGGATACTGCATGCCACGCAATGCTAGGCTCAGCAATAAAACTGAGGATTTCGTCTTTCCACAGTAGCCACTATTTGGAGGCTGACTGTGCGTTGCTCTGCTCATGGGAGGTGATGTGTGGCTGCCTTTGCATCACTTCACACACACACAGCCTCACCTCTTCCCCTCATTTTTTATATTGGTTTTATCTTGCCCCACAGGTTTTCTCACTTTTGCTCTTCTGATTCTCTACCCCATGCTACTGGGGCAGTGAGTGAGCAATATGCTAGGTGGGATGAACACACCAAACACTGAGAACAGGCAATAATGATGACTATACTGCTGGTCAAGTTATAAATTAATATGAAAGTTTCAAAGACTACAGCTTTGCCCACACACTTATTATTAACATTATCTGAACTATCACATAGGTAGTGAGGAAAAAAAGTATACATGGATACATATTTTTGCCTTAATTTTCCTCCTGGGAGTTGAAGAGATTTTTAGAAAAAAATAATTAAACACACAGCTCATACAGGCTTTCTCTGAATGCTAACCCAAACACAGTTGAAAACATAATGAGTCATATCTAGACACAGGCCCAATTTAGGAAAAATACGAGTTGCTTTATAGGTAAGTGTTCAATATAGGGTAGGCAGACTGCTATGCCAGCTGAAGCTGGGGCTGTGTAGACAGACTTGGCCAGCAGTCAATAAGCTCACCTAAACAGTATGGCAGCAACACACCCCTGGCAATATTTTAATGTTTATTTATCTTTACTTACCTATTTGTTCCCATATTTTTCAGGCCTCTGGGTGAAATTCAGGCTGCTGGGGTCAAGTGCACCAGTATCAACAGGGTGAGAATGTCACTGTCAGAAAATGCTATAGCAAGAATGCTAGCTTGCAGATACAATTACAACTTCAGTACAAAGTTTGTCACTATTTTGCTTTTAATATAAACATAGTTGTTGAATTCAGAGGAAAAAAGCAATGCCTTTGAGAAACGTGTGATGGTTTTTACTGCATATATTTTAATTTATGCACAAAGACCTTTTGACATTAACCCGAACAAAAGCCCACTTCTCTCTCTCAACATGATAGATCGTACTCCGTTTGAAGGTGCTCCATTTTCATAACAAAAGCAGTCCCCATCGTGATGTAGGAAGCTATGCAGGTGTGCACACTGCTTTTCCTTACTTAGGGCTTTCTAGAGCAACAAAACAAATGGCACACACTGACACAACACACAAAAGCATCTGTGCCAGCTGCCCTGCCTGACATGCTGCTGATTTTAAAGCTTTATCATTGAATCAGTGTCGCTGCTTTGAAGCTGTAGCCTGAACAAAGCATAGTACTTAGTAGTCATAGCAGCTAATTCGGAAAGAATATTTTTTTATAATAAAACCGTGATTTTAAAAAAATAAATGTGTGTGCTTTGGGAAATACAGCCACAGAGACAATGCATGGGAGACCTTCAACTTAAAACACATTTCAGCAGAAACTCCGCCTGCTGCCCTCCTACATATAAGGGAGCCTGTGCACACTTAAACCACAATAAAAGATGCCACAGAACTGCCTTTACTGCTCAGTGGCAGGAAGGCTGAGAAGCCGTTATACTGATGCTAGGTAAGGCTCAATTTGAGTAACAGCAAACAGATTTTTTGTCAAATAAAATCTGAGCTACCTGGGGTGAACCTACCCACTGGCCCTGACCTACCCACTGCAGAGAGAACACAGCAGCTGCACAGCCTCTGTTTAAACTAGAAATGCTGGATTTAGAATGGTTCTGATGGTTAAGCTGTAGATAAGCAGGAGGAGCTCAGCACGCTCTCTCATCTCTTGTAAGACTCTTCATTTCCTTGCTCTACACACCTTTGCTTTGGGGGAGCTAGAATTCCAGAGTTGAGCCCATTTTGATCTTTCTGTCACTGGGGATAACCAGAAAAGGCTCAGGGAGTTCTGGGGACCAAGATAACTGGATGAAGTGCTAAGAAAAGCGAGGAGTCTTAAACCCAGACTGACCACAACACAACCACCAAACACAAAAACCAACCGAACTTCTTTCTCTCTGCCCTTTCTCTCTCCAGTAACACCTCTCCTCCCCCCAAGCACCAGTCACCACATCAGCTTCTCTTCTCTAATTAAATGAGTCTGGAGCTGACTTGGAAAGAACACCGGGGACTGCAACACAGAGAAGTTTCTTATTAGCTTGTGTGATGAAGTAGGAGCCTGTTTGGCCAGTTGGTGGCTTAACCTACTTTATTTTAATGAATTATCCACGAAGTGGGATACACAGAGGTGCCATGTAAACATAGTCTGAGATCATCACCATCATCATCAGACAAGCTTTGAAATTAGCTCTAAGGTGCAGTACTTTCTGTGGAGTTTAAAAAACATATATAAGCACCAGCCAAAATAAACTATCACCCTGTCCCCTGCAGAGGCATACCAGTACCTGCTGATGCGGTGAGGAGTGCCAGCGTGGCACTGGCATGCCACCACACTGTATCTGAACTAGCTACAAGGAAAGTAATAAACTGAGATTTTTTCATTATTCAGAAAAAGCATTGAAATGTGTGAACTCTGACATCTGCAGTTCCATTTATCCGCTTAAGAAATAGATGATATTTTTAACAACGGAAGAGCTTTGTAATCTGTTCAAGGGTAGATTTTTTCCCTTAAAATTCATTGCACAAGCCTATTTTCTGTGAAATACTAAAATTAATAGATTGTAACTATCAAAATTCAGATAATTCCTGAGTCCCAAATAATGTAACTATAGCACTGAGAACTGCTCTGAAAAAAAATCAAAGGATCTGGCCCCTGATGCTTTCAGCTAAGTCCAGAAACTCTGAAACAGTTTACTTTGTGTCCTGGCTTGAGAAGTTTTGCAATGTTTCTGGTAGCAATGAGATTTGCTTGACGAGACCCTTTGCCTGGAATATACTTTTGATGTTTGAAACAAGCCTGACATTTCCACTTCCTATTTAATTTTTAAGTAACTACTGCTTTAAAGTTCTGAGCCTAAGTTTCCTACCTCAAGTAAACCAAATCTCTTCATTTTTTGCTTTCATTTTCCACTTCTGCTTTTCTTTGCTGGTCAGATCATGTGGAACTAAGCCCCAGTGGCATTACAGGCTTCCTAACCCTACATTTTGCGTTTCTACATTTTCTGTGCAATCAATCATCACTTCCTCTTCTATGTCTGAATAAAATAAACTTCAAGGCTATGCATTAAAACCTTCTAAAAGCAGTGCCATGTCTGCTCTCTTGCAGGAGGAGCAGACCTCAGATTTCAGTGCCAGAGATGAGGAGGCTTCTTGTACAGTTTCTGGATGAAAGAAGAAACTCAGTGTTTCATATGCTGTGAGAAATCAGCATTTTCCCAAGAGGTAGCCTGGGTGGAATTTGTCTCCATGATATCCCAAATCAGAAAATAAAACAACTTCCTTTTCAAAGTCTCAGTGCTACTGTCATTCAGAGCACAGCTGAAGACAGTGGTAGGGAAAGAGGCTTCTCCTTCTATTTTCCCTCAAGTCTGCAGCTGTTTGGGATGGGCGGGGGGGGGGGGGGGGGAGAGGGGGGGGAGAACCTTCTTAACGACAGTACTCATTTGCTCATAAGGACTAGGTAACAGCCTTGCAGTCTTCAAGTAAAGCTTCTCTAGAAGCCCCAGAAAAGAAAGGGCCCTACAGCAAGGATCATTAGCAGGGAGCACCAAATAATTTTTATACATACATATATATGTATTTTATACTGTGTATGCAGAAATCATATCTATATACATATATGTAGAAATATATATCCATATATATAATTACGGTCAGAAAAAAAAAAAAACAACAACAAAAACTAAACAGAAAACCACAACATTTACAGCAGAAGGTGATCTCTGGTCCTGACACAGCTGCACCAGAAGAACTTGTAATGAATATGCTCTACTCATGCTATGAAGTATTAAAACAAAAACCTATTTAATTATTCATCTTGACATGTCCCCCTCCTGTGCAATGGCTGAAGGTCCTGTGATAGCGGGATCTGTTGGGTTTTTTCAATAAAGATTCAAAGTGTGAATGTGCTGCTTATCCCTGTAGTCTCTCACAAGACATACTTTCTACTGTAGAAAACAGAATGTGCATCTACAGCCATGATCATGAGTTCACTTGATTGTTATGTGTTAGTACTTTGAAAGTAAGACCACCAGTCATACCTTCCCGGAGTCTGGATCTTAGAGCTAACACCACAACTTCCCACCACAACACTCATCTCCCTCAAACAGATACAACGCAGAGCACACCTCAACCACCACATGCTTTTTCTAACCTTTAGTCTCTTACGAATTAAATTCCAATGAAGACTGGTTTTTGAAGTGAAAAAATACAGCAAATAATGTGAAGAACTAACACCAAGCAGAAGCCTACAACCAGTTCACTGTGTTCAATCTTGTTGACCGAGTCTGATTCTTCACATTCAGGGGAAGTTTTGTTGTAAGGAAATTCCAAAAAACTTTTTTTTTTTTTACCTCAGTTCCTCTGACAAGATTAACTATATTCTACTTCAGGAATAAAAGATTTAAGAAAAAAAGAAAAATCCCCATTAAACTACAAGCCACTTGGAGTGCTCTTTTCTTCCTTTCCAATGTGTTAATCGGACACTTCAGCTTTTCTGTGACCCTGAGGAGGGGAGAACATTCCTTTCAATCTCACTGCTGTGTTTTTCTGATTGCACTAGCAGGTCTTTTCACCCAGCAGCAATCCAGGCAGAGCCGGCTGGTTTGGTGCAATCTGGAAGGTTGTTGTAATAACAGACAGAACAAAAAAGCACAAGGAAGAACCTGGCAGCTGTATAAAACTCCCTCCGAGCTCCAGACCCACAGAAGTTCATCAGCCTCAGCAATCAGCATGACCAGCCAGTCTCAGGGAATCCAGCAGCTTTTGCAGGCAGAAAAACGTGCCAAGGACAAACTGGAGGAAGCCAAAAAAAGTAAGTAGCTGGCCTGGTTTTACTGTAGTTTTCAACTGCAAGCTCTTCAGGATTACAGTGGTTTACAGAAAACCAACATTATTTCATCTGCATACATCACAGCTGTGCTGCTCCTATTCTTTCTTCACACTTGCATTAGTACTCCGGCTTGACTGCAGCCAGGTATTTAACCAAACCTGAACGTGCAGAGTTTGCTTAAAATTCTGTGTGCACGTGTACGTGTATGTGCACACATATGTGCCTTATTACATTAAACAAGGTTTTCTTTGTTACATTCATCCTGTCAGCTAGATTTATTCTTGCTTTATCTCAATGCCAATAACATCATAACAGCCTTCCTTAGCTATTTAAACTAGGAATCTACATGCCTCTGACTGCCAGTCCTTGAGGATCAGACTCCAAACTCTCTCTTTATAGATCCTGTATAATTTTTCAGTATTTCTCTTTACTTATGAAATCTAGTAACTTTCTTTCTAATCTTAGCTGGGCTTAGAAATAAAAATACATGAAAACAACAGGAGACTTCAGCACAATGATAGTAATCAAAGTCATAGTACAATCACAAGCACCATCAATGCTGTATAGTCATTGATATGCCTTTCTAAATGGTATAAGTAATCACCAAGTGATTAAATGTTCAGGTTAAAATAAATGTCTTATTTACTGAATGCCTAAATGCCCGGGGCAAAGCATATTTAGATATTCAATAATAATACCTTAAATACTTTTATTCTAGGCATTTATAAGCAAAACATTAACAACAACAAATAGAAAAATTAAGGTGTCTGCCAGAAGAATTTAAATCAAAGAAATAATTCCCCTGGCAGAGTTTTTCCATTATTCATATCCTTTTATTTTCTGTATTCATCTCCCAGTGATTTAAAGCAAAATATGGTGACCTTATTCTCCTGAATGTAGGTACCAACCACATGACCTGCATTAGAACCAGAACTGTTTTGTAGAGTTATCCTAATTCAAAAACCAACAGCAGGAAACAATATTGTCCTGCAGGACTCAAGTGAAATGCACAAAGATGATATCGTGTGGAGCAAGAGTGTGACAAAGGAACATATTTTGTTCCCCAGGGCGAAATAGAAGCTAAACAAAAATAATTTGTGCATCTTCTATATTCCTGTTACAAACAAATCAGCTGTGTGCCCATTAATTATTAGTTTGACATGTTAATTTGCACAGCAGTACACAAAAAATAAGTAAAAAGGCAACACCACTTTCCTGAGCATCCAGCCACTACCCATGCCTTGCAGAATCAACCGGGAGGCAGAGAATTTGCCCACCTTTATAAAACAGAAGGTTCACAAAAAGAAGGTGTTTGAAGGTTGCTGCGCCCAGCCTGAAAGCAAGGAATAATTAAGAAGTGATTCCACCTTTACATAGCCAAATGAGGTGCTGTAGGTGGGATGATTCTTCCCTACTGTAGGGCAGAGGAAATGCACTGTTCCCTGAAGCAATAAGCAAGTAAGCATATGACCTGGAAAGGGACATCCGTCACTGGAGGGAGTGGAAGCTTGGTCTGAACACAGGCTGCAGAATGAGGACTTTAGCCATAATAGCTTGATGTTGATTGCCCTTTACTTTTGGTTTTGGGCTTTTTTGATGTTTTCATTTCTAAATTAAAATGTTTTGTTTCAGTTTAGATTTTTTTCTAAAAGAATCAGTTAAAAAGAGGTTTTGTAAATTAAGGAGTTCCAAGAATGAAAAATATCATTATAACATAAAACTAGTCACCAATTTGTCTTGCAGAATCCAGACATAGTTACTGGTGCCTTTGCTCTGCCAAAAAATGCACTATCCTGTCATCACCTCAGTCCTATACAGTGTGTTTGTGATAAGCACAAAGCTTCTTACAGATAAAGTATCTTCCAGATCCCTTTGAGTATGAAACTTGAATTAAACCACTGCCTACGCTTACCTCAACACTAATACAAGGGGAGAAGTTATTCAACAGATACAGAAAAAGAGCTATTAAGAATTTTGCTACCAGTAAAAATATTCAGAGTAAAAATATTTCATCAGTATGAGTATCTTCTCCATTACTTTCAAGGGCAAACAGGTTTTTTTCCTTTATAAAAATTCAGGAAAATGAAAGTTTCTCATACATAAATATCTGGATGTAGAGGGGGAGATGGAAGAGGATATAAAGAAGACAGAGCCAGACTCTTTTTAATGGCATCCACTGAAAGGGCAAGAGGCAATAGGAAAAATTTAAATGTAAGAAAACAACTCTATAACTGTGAGGGAGATCAAACCCAGGAACAGGCTGCCCAGAGAGGCAGGGGACATCCTCCATCCTCAGAGACATTCAGACCCACTGGATATGGCCCTGATCAAGCTGCCCTTGCCAAGCCTGCTCCGAGCAAGGGCTTGGAATAGACCCCGGAGGCTCCTTCCAGCCTCAGCAGTTCTGTGTAATCCCATGAGAAACCTCAAGCATTTCTAAGAAATTTTATTCCTAGGTGTAGCTGATCAGTGGCAAAAAGTTTAAATAACTAATGAAGTGGCATATTCATCTACAGCCTAAAGACTCTGTGGTTTCCTTTTGTTCACGTTAAATACTGACAACAGTTTCTGCCAGGGTGTGAACAGCAAAGCTCTTGTGAATTTTAGATCTCATGATCCCACAAGCAAGGTTAGGCCTTAGTATTTCTGATTTGCTTGGGGTTTCTTTAAGTCCTCCCTGGATTTTGTGTTAAAACAAACGTTATAGTTAATCTAGCAGAATAATTATAGCTATACAATCAATATAATTACAGAATAATTACAGCAATACAAAGCTATACAATAATATTATATTCAACATTACAAGAGGTTTGCAATGAAGCTACAAAATAAAATATTTAAAAATCTCCATGTTGTACTAATTTCAATTTTGTTCACAGCAATGTCACTACACCACCTTAAATACTTAAATATACCAGCATAACATAAATGATGTTGGACAAGGCTAAAAGGGATTCTTTTAATACAAATCTGGTTATGCCAAGTCAGAATTACTTCAACAGTCTCTTCTCCAGAGTGATTCTGCAGTTAAATTAGAATAAAGGATGGCAAAGTTTGTCTCTGAGCATAAAAACTAAGATAAAAGGAAATACATGAAATGTAACCAATATAACCAGTTTAATCGGTTAACCTCTGCACACACATAAAGTTCAGTGAAACAAGGTGAGGATGTGCTGCTTCATCGCAGAAAATGCTAGCCCAAATCCACCTGGTACCAGTTTAGACCAGCAGCTTCTGCTCAGGGGCTGGCACTCTGCAGATCTAGGCTGCAAATGAAAGCAGTGAACCATTCAGCGAGTCCTGGTGCAGTCCTGTCCCTGTTAAACTGCACCTATGACCTCCTTTGTCACTGAAAACAGTCATTGCACAACAGCCCTGTAGGAATGAGTCCAACTGTTCTATTTACATTGTAATGTGAGAAGAATGAATGGCAGGTTGTCCATAGGACACAACCAGAAAAAGTCATTTTCAAGGAAACGTGATTAGAAAAACTCCCCTTATGCAAACCCTTCAGTGTTTACAGTTGATACTCACATAACCAGATCAAAATGTAGTGTGAACACACATTATATTGTATACAAACAGATAATGGGCCTATTTTTTGCTTACATATGTGCAGCTCTTTGTAATACAAAATCCATTTTGGACAGCTAAAAACTTAGCAAATATATGCAATTATATTTATAGACATGAATTAAAGCAAAAAAATACAAAAAAAAAGCTGTTCTTTACATGTTTTTTCATACTTCTTGCTCAATACCCTTTTATCCAGGCTTGCAATATCTTTACTGTATCATTGGCTGACATCATTTATACCTGAAAAATTAGTAATAAGTTGTTGATAAATGCACACATGCAAGGCTGAAACTATTGATTAAACAAACCAAAACAGTCTGAAATCCTTCAGTCTTCTACAGACAGCACAGCTTTAGCTATAATTTTTGGAACCTAGAAATAACTGTATTGTCAGAGCCAAGGCATCAATTCCTGAAAATCCTTTTGGGCAAAACAAGGGAAACCAATGTGTCATGAACACTGGATTTAACAAAACTTGTTTTCCTATAGATTTTTCTATCTTGGCTTGAATTTCTAGCACCTAATAAAATGAAAACTCAGATGAAAGATTTCAGAAATTCAGATTAAAAACAAATGTTAATCAAAATAAGATATTGTAAACAGAATTAGATCCATGGCATTCTCTTGGATAATATTCAGGACATATTTTATCTGCTGAAAAAACTATACATACTGATCAGCTGCTCCTATTGTTTTTTTTATTAAAAGTGTAAAATAGCCTTCTCAAAATAAGCACCCTAAATCCCATTTTGCAAATGATTTAACACTGTTGAAGACAACTGAAATGGTCCTATTTAAAGAAAACAGGATTAATTTTTGGCAACTTCTTTATATGAAATTATTTCTATGCAGGACTTCAGCTAGAAGCCTCCATGGTATGTTTGAAATCAGAAAGAAAATTTTAGCATGGCAGTTTTGGGGAAGTAAGATAACTGTGTTTGAGCAAATTAGAATGCAAGACTTTTTCTTTCTACTGTCTTTTCCTTGCAAGATCAAAAAAAACCAACAACCTAAAAAGTTTCCAGTTCTTTTGGATCTAACCAGGGCTAAGAATTTCATTAACATTACAAAAACACCTAGAAAAAATAATACAGCCTTTCTCCATTCTAGTAATGCTCTCCCATGTTAGGTAAGAAAATCTGATACAGAGCTGACCTGGTTAAGATTTGGCCAATTTTACATGATGCCTAGAAACGTGTGGGCTGTCAGCTACAGTAATCATGGATGGCAGTTGACAAGGAATCCAGAGCATAGCTGCTTTGCTGCTCTTCATCTTCAAGGATGGGAAGGAGGGATGAAGGGGCAGCAGCAAAGCTGGCCCCCACAGCTCGCCCTGTGGGAGAAAAGTCTCCTCAAACTTAGAGCTTTCTGTACCTCACCTTTATGATCGTAGAGGAAAGACCACAGGGACAGGCTGGTTTGCCCATCCTCCTGTATTTCTTTCCCTCTTTCTGCATGATCTTGGCTGAATTTCAATGCCCTGCCATCCTTCAGTGTCTAAGGCTTGATTTCAGCTCGTCTGTGCTCTGCAGAGAATCCCATCCGGAAAATCATAAGACTTTGAAAAGGCAATCCCATATTGCACAACTAAGGTAGCAGACAAGTGGTTAATAACAGACTGATTAATTAATTTTGGTTTGTCTCTAGTGAAACAGCAGGTTAAGCTCTAGTTTCTGCTTAACTTAATCAGGTGCAGCATATGCACTATCGCATATGTCGGCAGTTGCCGATTCTGTCCACAACGTTGTTGAACTAGCAGTAATTTACTCACAGCTTTTCCACTTAATTAAATAAGAAGCAGCAGGTTCCTGCTGTGCCAATCCTAAAGGCATCATGGAAAGATGAAATGGCTGCCACCCTACAGTGACACTCTATGTATTGTGCTTACTCCAGTGCACTGTCAAGAGCTGACACGTATGTATACATACACTTTTTGGTTCACTAGCTGCATTGTCAGAGGCAAATGAACTGTTGTTTTACAGTTACTGTCTTCCCATTTTGTGCATTTTAAATGGATTTATTTATCTATCTGGTGGCCAAATATGCGACATATTTACTACAGATGGCCCCCCAGATGGAATTTGAAATTAAAATCCCACTGATTTTGAAATAATTTAATTTGCTATAGAGATCCAGTTCCTCAGCTGGTGAAATTGGCAGAACTTCATCATAGTCACTCCTCCTGACTTACAGCTTGAGAAACACCCCCCAGCTCTGCTCCTGGAGAAAAGCTCTATAAATGTCTGATCAGCTCCAAATTAGAATAAAGGAAACTCCAAAATTAAGACCTAAACCTGGATCCAAATTTTGATGTTCGGATTGATGTCAGTCTCTTACACAAATCTGTCAGTTCACACATACTCATCCCAAGACTTCATATGGTTAGTGGCAGAGGCTGAGGGAATCAGCCTTTATCATGCGTATACAAGCCCTAAGAAAGTACGTATTAAGTTTTAAACTGCCTCTCTGTCCCTTAACACATAAGCACAGTGCCTCAGTGGTAGAAGGACTCTGCGCAATATAGTTAACTACACAAGAGAGCACTGCTCTGCTGAACTGAGAGTCAGTAAAGCTATCTAGTTCCTCACTAGGTTGCTCCTTCCTGTAAAAAGCCTTTATACGATCATGCACCCCAGTTCCCACAATAAGAACACCCACAACATCAAACAGTGCAGGAAACAAGACTTTAAAAGGCAATTCACATTTCAGGCATCTCTCTGCTTCTAATCATCCATCTGCAGACAATGCCTTGAGAAGGAGCCATCAACTGGGCAAATAATTTACTGGTGGATCAGGCATTTTTCCCAGGCTTTTGTTGAATCTCAGATGTCTCATAAACAAGTCTTCCTCCCAAGATTCAGCTTCCTCATTGCACCATGCTCAGTGAAACTAGACTGCTATATACCACACCTGATAAGGCTTCAGAAGCCAAGCACATGTGTAATCAATCCAACGCAGCAGCCTGGAGAAAATAAACCAGAAATACTAATGCTTGCCATTCTAGCCTAGGCATATAATGTTCCTTAGGGTTTCAGAAAATGTACTGTTTTCAGCTTCCTTGCTTGAATTGAATGATTAAAAGAACCAATCAACCAAAAAAAAAAAATACAACAAAAACTCACAAGGGTATTTATATTGCTCAGTGATGTTTAGTAAATAAAGAAATGGATGTTTCAGGCATGAGACCAAGATGTCTTTTTTCAGCTGCTCAGCCTCCAATCTCTTATTCTTGTAGTATCCTAATTTAAGCAACTAAGAAATAGCTTTTTCAGCCATTGAAGATGCTTTTTCCCTCTTAAGAGAAGGAGGCAAGCTTATTCCCTCCTACTCATAAAACTATCTGTTCAGCAGAAAGATATCATAAAAATCAGCATCAGCCCAGGTGTCTCAAATATAACATACCAACTCTAAATGCAAGAGGTTTATAGCTACATCAGTTAGAAAGTGACTTTTTCCAAACGAAAGCAGATTCCTGTGGTGATCCATGAAACTTTACCAATTTTATACAAAACAAGCAGACAAAGATGCATCACCATGGGGTGGTTATGACATGTTCAACACCTGTTTCATGTAAAAATTTAAGCACCACATCCCCATCAAACCTTTTACTCCTTTGCTTTACATAACATCCCTGCTACACCCAGGAACAACCTTATGCTTATGGTCATTAAGGGAAAAGGGTGAGGGAGAAGAGGACAAAGCCTGAAGGTTGCCACTCAGTTTGGTAGTGGTTAAGACATATCTTGCAGTACTTTGGAAATCTGCCAGCTCTAGCGGAATCCAGTTGGTGTGGGATGAAGGGATGCTGGCAACCCATCAATAGAGCAAATCTGACAGAATAAAGTCTTTTCCTACCAGTGACAACTAAAATCTGTTATCTGGCTGCTACTATTGCTGATGAAGGAAAGATAGATATTTATTTAAACACCAAGCTGTGATTAAAAAAAAAAAAAATGCATTTGTGTTTACGAGATAATGTGTAATTGCAAAAAGACTTCTGTTGTTAGCAAACCAACAAGCTTTTCATTTGATGTGTGCTTTCACACAGGGAGTTGGTCTCAAAAGATGGGTACTTTTGTGACTGGCTTTCAATCAAAAAGCACCTACCTAAATCGCTTTGGATCTTCTGACTATTCTTGTGCAAATAAAGCTGCTGTTGACTTTGCTCAAAGCTTTGTCTGTTTTACTATGCCGGGTAAAATACCTCTGATTTAGAGATATTCATCTTTTGGTATACAGTGACAATTGTGTGTGAAGTAAATCTCTGTTTTTTTCCCCATTAGGAAAGGGGAAAAGGCTGAAGCAGGCCAAAGAAGAAGCCATAGCTGAGATAGACCGCTACAGGTTACAGAGGGAGAAGGAATTTAGGAACAAGCAAACAACTGTAAGAAACCTGCATATGTTCTTTTGTAGTGTCAGTCTGCTCAATGGTAAAACAAATTGCTTCAGTGTTACATAGGGACTTCTGCAAACCAACATGATCACACTGATTAAACAGAGGTAACACCTACAGTGTGTATATGCTTCATTTTGACTTCTTCACGGGCTTTGAATGCATTTGAGAAGGTATTGTGGACTTTCACAATTAAAATTGTCCAGATTCTGTATTTGGCTCATGCTTGTCCTTTGAAGACATACCTCTCAAAGAAAAATGCCTTTGGGTCCTCTTTCTTTAACACCAGACAGACCTCATTCCTGTCTTGAAACTGGAGGTTACAGTAAGGTGGATGCTGCAGTAAAAGCAATGATTTAAAATCTTTCTTTCTGATTGTGTTCTACTTTAGCTCACTTTTTTGACTGCATCTTTGGTGAACTGAAATCTTCAAAACTTTGGGGGTTTTCATTATATTTTCATAGTAAAGATATTACTTTTGTGGGAACTCAATTTTTTCATTACAAGCAAAATTAAAGCTGCAGGGAAAGGCCACTCTCTGTGACAGAACATTTCACACAAGCAGGACAAAGCACATATTGTTCCTCAAATGACAGTATGTTGTACAAGATCATTGCGGTCCTCCTTCACATTCCCTGACCTCATTATGTCAAACATTTATCCACTCAGACAAATGTCATCATTATTAACCTGTGCCTGGAAGGCAGGCAGGAGTTCCAGCTAAGCCAGTGCAGAGGGAAGTCTGATGCCCAGTTCAGTTAACTGGCTCAGGTATTTGGACACAAGTATTTATAATTCTCTGTCACAGTCCCATTTAATGTTATTCTTCCTCTTGTACTTACTTGTTTGCTGTATCAAAACTGGGGTAAATTTTCTCATACTATGGGATGTTCCACATCAGCCCAGCATGAACAACAGCAGCAACAGAAAATTATTAAGTTAGAGTGACAAGACCTTTTTTTTTTTCTTTTTACACAAGATCTTTTTTCAAAACATACTAAATTTAAGCCCAAATCTCAATCAAACCAATTTTGCTAGTGCTCATGGTGTTTGTACTCAGGGTCCGAGATCTGTGAACTCAGGTGTTGTGCAGGCTGGGTCTGAATTATGTGGCTTCCAAGTCAGTGAGTTAAGGTAACATTTTAGAGACTTTGGAATGACATGAGCATAAAACCAGTAAGGACAAAATAAAGGGCAAACCTTCAAGGCCAGCAGAAAATTATCTGCATTCTGACAAGCAAAAAGTCTTCAAATTCAGAAGCAGAAAACAGTTAAAAAAAATACAAAGCAGAATTGACTATCTTGTTACAGTATTAGTATGAACTGAGAAAGCAGGTTCACAGTCTGCAGAAGCTCTTCTTAAAGTTATACTACTATTATACTACTTTTCTTGAGGTTTTTCAAAAGTATTTAGTAGCTGGATAGCACACAACCATCCGGGATCTCTAGAAAGTTATTTTCCCCAGTGGAAAACATCAGCTTCATAAATCTTATCTAAGCTGTACAATCTTCCCCACATGAGACCTTTACCATTTGTCTAAAAGCTAAAATGAAATGCCAGCTAAAAACAGTTACTATAGCAAGCTATAATCTTTTCCCAATATTTACATCCTATATTACATACATGCTATATTACTGCCAAATCGGAAAGTGTTTTACATCTGGATTACAAGAAAGCTTTTTACTACATTGTCAGGTATTGATTACGTTGCAAAAGATCTTAACGCAGCTGCATTTCCTTCTTTTAAGGACTAAGTTGGGCTGAAACCACATGGAAAATAAACCTTATCACTCCTCCCTCATTTCTGATCATGCCCTAGGTATTCCACTAATATCACAGGTTAGCTTCAGCTGCTAGTCCACTCCAGAGAACCACAGCAGGAATATGAATATATTATTTATTCCTTTCTTACTCTGTCATCATGCAGAAATGTCTTCTACCCTCCCCAATGAATTTTTTAACTGGAAACCTTTTCTGTGCTGGTATCTGTAGAACTTTTCCATAAGGGAGGAATTCTAGGGATGTTGGGGCAGTGGGGGAGGAAGAAGCAAAGTCACAGATTTGGAACTCGTGCATCTGTTAATAACATAACCTTGCTAAAATGTTCAGCAAGTCTAGAGTTAATTAAATTCTAAGCGAATGTCCTGATATTAACTGTGCCAAAAGCTGTCTGGTATTTTGCCAGATAAGAAAATGTAACATTAACAGACCTTGTCTGCGGCCTGTTGAGGGTTGTACATCACTAACTGCTGAAGACATTTCAAGTACTCTGAAACTGTAATGTTTTGCTCCTTAGCCACACTCACATTCATTCTCAGTGAGGCCAAATGGAGCACATGGGTGACAGAACTTAGTGGCTAGTCACTGAAATAGAAAACTAATTAAAATGAGCGATATAAAAGACAAACATGCACAATGTTGTTCCCACAGTGAACTGGGAAACTTTCATTACATGGGGAGATTCTCATTGCTAATGAGCATATGAAAGAGTTCCCTTTAATCCTGCTTTTATATATACCGTTCAACTTAGATCATACCCTTACTGCTAGGAAGCCCTGTGACATGTTCGGATTATGTTTAGACTAGATAATGAAGAAAAGTACAGTAAACACAGTCATACATAACCCTTTATTTTGCTCAGAGGACTTCTGCTTTTCAGGTCATGGGCTCCCAAGGCAACCTCTCTGCTAAAATAGAAGAGCAAACAACAGAAAACGTCCGAAACCTCACTAGCAGCTACCACAAGAACATGGAGAGCATGATGAAAAAGCTTTTGAACGCGATATGTGATATCAACCCTGAACTTCACCCAAACTTCAGACATGCAGTTTAAGATCCATTGATGTACTTAAGGATGTTTGTAAAAGTAGCCTTCTTTCTTGATAAGCATAAATATTTTCTCATTTACTGTTTCTGTATATGTGAAATAAAAAGAACACTAAAGCCAAAAGCACACGGTTCCGTATATGCTTTTAATGTGACAATAATTACACAGGGTTTCACAAGCATTTGTTGGAATATTGTTTCCTGTTGGTAGCTAAGCAGCTGTCATTTAGACAAGGGCAAGTCAACAACAGTAGAATAAATGATTATTTGACACCAGCAGCTTTTCAGTAGGAGTCTTTATTCCTTTTCTTTTGTAAAATGTTCTGTAGTGGGGTATACTTCTTCACTTCAAGAGTGGCAGGACACTGGAGCAGGCTGCCCAGCGAAACTGTGGCTGCCCCATCCCTGGCAGTGTTCAAGGCCAGGCTGGATGGGGCTTGAGCAACCTGGTCTAGTGGAAGATGTCCCTGCCCACAGAAGGGAGGTTGGAACAAGATGATCTTTAAGGTTCCTTCCAAACCAAACCAGTCTATGGTTGATATGTGATTCTATGTGGTCTTACATAAAGTCTGCTTATCCCAATCTTCACTGTACTTCAAGAATATCACAAAAACTTAAAGGATTTCTGCTTCCCTTGTAAGACACAGAGTGCTCTGCTTATAGAACATATAGGAAGTCTGCAGCTTTTGGTCAAAAGGAATGGGTCAAAACATTTTCAATTTTTGCATGCTGATTTAGGGCAAAATATGTCGTGTTTTAAACCCTAGCCAGTCAGCTTGTTCACTCACTCCCAGTGAGTGGTGCCGGGCTGAGAGCAGTCAAGCCCTCCCCCCCGCCCCAGGGCTCTCCCCTTCCCCGCTCCCAGAGGGATGGGGAGGAGGATTGAAAGAGTGCAACTCCCACGGGTTGAGACAAGAACAGTCCAGCAACCAATGTACAACACAAATCACCACCACTACCACCGACGACAACAATGATAAGAGAAAATAACAAGGGAAGAGAATACGATACCATCGGCCAAGAAACGAGTCCGACCCAGAAGCCCGTGTCCTTCCGGGTAACACCCAGTTACCCCCCACCCCGGGCATGACGTGCTGTGGTATGGAATACCTCCTTGGCTAGCCTGGGTCAGGCATCCCGTCTCTGCTTCCTCCCAGCTTCCCCTCCTCCCTGGCAGAGCATGAGCCTCACAAAGTCCTTGGTCAGGGTAAACATCACTTAGCAACAACCGAAAGCATCGGTATCACCAGCACTGTTCCCAGGCTGGAAGTCAAAACACAGCACTGCACCAGCTACCACGAAGGAGAAACATGACTGCTACTGCTGAACCCAGGACAAGCTGACTTTTACAGAATTACATTCAAAAGCTGTACTCAAAGCGTTATCCTTTTTCTATAACCACACCATAAACTTTATATAGCTTTGTTAAGTTTGAAAACTGAGAACAGGAGTAATCATTATTTACAAAATTGCTTTGGTTCAAGGTGCAGACTGGCAGACCCATCATTATCTATAAAGTTACACCAAAAGCACAGGAATCCATGGGCTCAAACTCTACAGCAGTTACATTAGATGGTACCTTAACCCACAAGTTGTCCACAGAAATCACGTCACTTAGGGCTCACTTCTGTTACTCTAAGTGACCTTGAGCACTATTCAATGGCGCAGATTTCCCTTTCAATGAATTCTGCTGCAGTTCGGAAAATACAATATGATCTGGTGCTTTCAAGGTGAAGACCATTAAATCTGATGGGAGGATGATGGGAGGCACTGCTGAAGTGGGGGTCTGGCACCTGCATCATGAGCCCCCTTAATGCCTTGTCTCCAGTACAAAATAACACCGAATTAGAAAAGAAGCCTGAGAAACTGCAATGAACAGCAAACAATAGCCATGATTCTCAGTCCACGTAGACACAGACAAATCATTTCAATTTCACAGCAGCTAGTCATAGGCAATCTCCTGTTCCAGTGAGGTTTACACAGCTGACATGCTGTCATGCGTAAAATGACCATAAAGCTGTAGTCAACTTAATGTCAGCAAACATGACTTCTCAAGGCTGTGCCTGGTTGCCACATAATCTCCCAGCTATGATTGTTACAGTCTCTTGTGCTTGATCATATTCTCTGGGGACGCAAGGATGCTGAGGAATAGGAAAGAGACTAGAAATCCTGTTGAAGGATTTAAAATCAGTCAAATCAGCTGAAGGCTCATTTATTTAGGAGTGCTTTGAATGTGCTTATGATAGGTTTTGATCTACTGAGGGGATGAAGGAACTCCAGTCCCAGCCTATGCACATGAGCCAATGCAAGCACCTTCCTGCATGGCATGGGGCAGTCAGGATTGCCTCTTTGCTTAGGCGCACGTCTCCAGCTTGGGTCATGGCTACAGTCCCAGAGCAGCCCCTCAAGTGTAAAGCGTATGTTTTCTGTGAGCTTAAGCAGTCACCAAGGTGGAAGCTAATCTCTCACAAGGACTCACTGCAGTGTTCAGGACTGCTCCACTTTCCCTTCTGGGCTACCTCAGACCCTTTCCACCAGCTGTAATTTCTAAACATACAGAAATGTTGCAGGTCCACTGCAGAACTAAAGCAATGGCATTTTCATTGCCATTGCATTATTGTATGGGAAAACAATACCCCTAAACAGCAAGAGCAGAATTGCCACAGCACAGTTGGCAGCAAACTAGAGAAGCAGAGAAGCAGCTTTCCAGGAAGTCACCAACACATGCATGAAATAAAGCTTTGTCTTCTTGCATTGCCCCACTCCTTTTTATGACATTCCTCCTTTGCCTCATTCATGCCAAAATCTACCTTCTGTCACCAACTGCTTTTCTTGCAAAGCTTCTGCCCTCCTTTCAATGCTACCCTCTACCCTTCTAGCCCTAACGGCCACAAACACATCTTATTTAGATCTTTAAAACACATCATCCCATGAATACGCCCTCCTTGACAAAAACCCAAGCGTGTGGTGGGGGACAGCAGAAGCCACTGGAAACATGAATGGACATTGTCTGGAGGGGACAGATCAGGTCTGCCACCTCTCATGACACTGCACTGCAACCACAGCAATGACCAGTCTGTACCCTTGCTATCACCTGCATACTTGAGATATAAATTGGGTTTTAAGTGCTCAAACTTTCTGAACATGAATATTGTCTTGAACTGTGGCCAGTATGAAAAGCCACCACTCACAAAAAGAGAATTCATTCATTATGATTAGCTCTTTGATCTTGAGAGATATAAATCTGAGAGCTTTGAGCGCTGTGCATTTGCATTCCTACTTACTGACAAGGAAAGGGTGGTTACACCATCACTTTTAGCTGCACAGAGGTAAAGGTCCAATTAGATTTCATGTGATTTGGCAAGATACTGGGTTTTTTAAATGAAGAGTGTAAAGTACCACCTGCATCAATGGAACACTGAGGTGCCAAGGAAATGCCTGCTGAATTTACAAGCGCACAAAATATCTAGTAAGACATTCACATATTCAGGATAAAGGCAAATCATTATTCCACACAGAAGGAAAAGAAGTAGTAGAAGCAAGGAGGATTAATTTCAAAATGCTTTTAAATGCATAAGAAAAGCATAAAAACAGTTACTCTGTATTAGCAGTCACCTACCACAGGTTATTACAACCACCCTGCCACCTCCTGGGGAAGATACCTGGAAGCCAGGGAGCCCCCAGCCCTCACAGTGTCCTGACACTCTGCTGATTAACATGTACCAATGTAGCTGCCAAATAAAATGGCAACATCTCACGTATCATAACACAAACAAATAGAAAGCCATACATAAATAGAGGTCTGTGTAAATCTTTTTTTTTTTTTCCTGTAAATGCCTCTGGAATCAGGGTCTTTGCAAACACCTGAAGAGCTCCTATGAAGGTTTCCATCTCTCCAGACACGCTTTCCATTGGAAAGGGTGGTTGCCTGACCACAGCACCACTTCAGACAAAGAGATTTTCCTTACATCATTGGAAGCCAAACTCTGTAAAGATTAACTATTACCCTCCCTGCCCAGTGATAACTCTACACAGCAATGGTGATTAGCACTTTCAGTATTTCAATTAGTATATTCTACCTATCAATAAATCAGTATCAATAAAATGAATGGGGATGGGGATGAAATGAATTTAGGGAGGTTTCCTAGACTGACCACATTCAACACTGTCTTACAAAAGTGGGTTAACAAAGCTTTTGCTGTCTGAAAAAGAAGAGCTGTATTATACAATAAATTCTAAATCCACTGACTGAAGTGCCTCAAACAAGAAGTAGTGGAAAAGATCATACCACTGGAAAGTACAAGAACTGTTTTATACAACTTATGACATGAACTGGGCTGAATTTCTCTGGCTGTTTTCCCTCAATGTTCTACTTTGAGTTATAATATATGAGGGGACAGTGATGTGATTCCCATTCATGGGTGATGAGGGAAGATCTCCGAACTCATGCCAGTAAGATAGAATATTTTTCAAGTCTAAATAAAGTAAAATGAAACAGACATGAAGAATTAATACTATGTTCTATGTATAGGCTTTCTACTGACTTTGTCATTAATTTCTGAAGAGCGTGGAAACCGAGATTTGGGAAGTCAGAACCAGATATTAATCTGGCTATGATTATGATATTAACTGAATACATGGATTATGACATTAACTGAAATCAGATTTCATTCCTTATATATAGCTGCCTCAGTTAATTATTCCATATTAAAATATACTTGGAAGTTCATATAGTCTGTAAAACCTAAGTTGTTTTGTAAATGATCATATATGTAGGACACAAGTCTGGGGGAAGCTCTTTACAGAGCAAAATATTTCAGGCCCTGACTTTAAAGATTTTGTAGTTCAAGGACTGTGAGTGATGCTTCACCAGATGTTAGAACAAGATGACCTGCTGTTGCAGATCTCAGAACTACAACTGGACAGGTGACAACAGGAAACCATGGGAGATGTGAACCTGCAGATATGTGCCTCCAGAAGCATCCTTAACCACCGACAAAGCAAGAAAGATACCTATGTGTAAGCATTTATTGAGCACCCCTGCAGCAAGGGGCTGTGTTGAATTCTGGGTACATATCTAGGCAGGGTGAGACTCCAGACTGAATCTGAAGATGGAATATAAACATGTTTTTAGGCCACTAAGCAATACCTTCCAACATTTGCTGTGTCATTGGCCATTAGCTATATTGACAGGCAGGTTATACTGTCATCAGTTAAAGACATAGCTATTGTGAAATAGTAACAGTTCTTAAAAAAGAAAGGATGAACCTTGCCCC